TGTGGTTATTAATGATTAGTACAGGGAAAAAAATATGGATAATGGTAATTTATACCCTCTGGTTATGACTAACAGTTTGCCATGGTATAGATGGCCCATAGAAATAGATGGTTTACCGGTTTACCTCTTATAGCTATGGGTGGATTGTCCATGGCGAACTGTTAGTCATAACCAGATGGTATTTAACAAACAAATAGGTTGGGATTTCACCGAAAATGGTGATTCAAACATCAACAAATTAGGGTGAGATCAATGATTTCACGCATGAAATAGAGGATTTCTTCGACTTTGGCACTGTACTTGGGGCGCAGTTGGGCTGAAACAATTGAGTAGGAAGGGGCCCATATCCTGTGAGGCCCATATCGTGGTTTCCAATCCATGGGGCTACCCCAAATCGTCCAAAATCAGAGTATTTTCATATCGAAACAACCAAGGGGACATGGCGATCCCTATTTTAAGAACCCCGCATATGGATAGCTTCTGAGCACCACCGACGGCGTCCAGCAAAACATGCATAGGAATTGATTGATTAGTTATTAGTTAGTGGTACATCCCATTCATGATATCTCCATGAAATATTTCTATTAAATGGTAGTGATAATTTCATATTATCCCGTTCCATTCCCTTCAAATGTGTTGATGATATCCCATCATATCCCATCCCCGTATTATAATTCAACTACCCTTTGGTAAACATACAAAAAACTATGGAAAATCACCATAGCTATAATGGGTAGTCATCAACTATTTCGACCGGGCCATTTTCTATGTCGCAAACTGTAACAGTTTACCAGAGGGCAAATTATCAGCCAATGGTTAGGTGGTTTGGTTTTGAATCCCAGGATTTGTTTGGGGATTCCATCTCGCCATCTGGGCATCCCCGGTTTTTTGTTCGCATCTCAAATCAGGAGTGAACCATTGTTTGATAATTAATTGAATTATAGGAATGGGATATGAAGGGAAATCATCAACACATATGCCCATATTATCCTTTTAATTAAACCCATATTATCCCATATTATCCCATATTATTCCATATTTTCCCATAATTTTTCCCGTATTTTTTCCCATATTTCATGGCTATAAAACAGTTGAACTTGGTATGTCCAGTTTTATGTCTTCCCTGAGATGCGGCGCATCAACCGCCTCGTGGCGCTTCTGGGTGCCGAACACGAACTGGGTGCCTCGGGACAGCTAGGACAGGGGCCCCCAAGGGGCTTCGGTGCTGAAGTCAAGTGATGGGAAGAGATGGCATCGTCATAGTATGATATGGTGGTTGGTTAGAATCCTTTAATCCCCTGAATATTATCCCAAGATTAAGGGTTTCTAACTAACCAACCATATATCTGGGTAAATTTCATCACGACCTCACTGCGACCGAGCCCTGGGAATCATGGTTAGGATTGGGGAAATGATCCCAATATGGTCTTATTTCAGGTTAGTGAAATAGACCCAGATATATACAATAATAAGTATTATAGTACTATAATAACCAATATATATGGTAAATAGTTATCATTAATAGTATTATATATATATACTTATTACTTTGTTTAGATAGTGGGACTATATAGTAGTATAATTCTGTATTATAGTTATAATTATATATTTTAATATTATATAGTTAGTATGTTATAGTTGGTAATTGTGATACTGAAAAAATATGAAAAACATATTTAATCTATTTAATGGTTATTATAAATCTAGAAGTATTATCTCAATATCTAGTGAATCTAAATTATATACTATGTATACGCATTATCAATGGATACTAACCATTCTAAATAGATATTTTCATGATCTTATTCTCTGGTAAATTGACACACTGAAAAACAACATTTTTGTTGGTGGGAACAATTATCTTCCAAGCCCTATCTGGCAGGGTCTATGTTGATTTACTGGAGGGTAATATTTAGTCCTATGGCATCAACTTAATATTAAGTCAACAGATAATATCAAGTCTATACATGAGTTAGCATTGCAATATATGGCAGCAGAAAATCCCAACTGATGGGAACATATGGGATAATAATCTATCTGGTTGGTGGTTTGGAACATTTGGCTTATTTTTCCATATATTGGGAATGTCATCATCCCAACTGACTTTCATATTTTTCAGAGGGGTAGGTATACCACCAACCAGCTATAAATGGGTAATTGTCCAATGCCATGTTCTTTTTTCCTGGAGGCAAAGCTGACAAAACCACCTGGCAGCTGGGACCACCAGGGGTTCCGAAATGGTTTGCAGGAGCTGGGAAATCCTATATAAATAGAGCTTTGTAGCTGGGATAATCATGTGTTTTTATGCCGGATTTTCCATTACCACCTTGGAGTACGAGAAGTTAATTTTGCTACCCTCTGGTAATTTGTTACAGTTTGCGAACTTGAAAATGGCCCAGTCGAAATAGTTGATTTACCCATTATAGCTATGGTGATTTTCCATAGTTATGTAAACGTTTACCAGAGGGAAAATTGTGATAAACCATGACCAATAACTCTTTTCCTTGGTAGTGTTTAGTACACCGCCCTCTCTCTGTCTAGAAAGTCATGGGATTGGCGCTTTTACCACATCCCATCCGCCAGTATTAAAGCCTCACCCAGACACCCTGGGTGAGTATTGGATCTATTCATCATCGGGTCCTATATTGGGTACCATATCAGATCCCCATTTCGATTGGATTACTGTACCTCATGAAACAGTTCTTGACTAAATAGTAGTTTCATTAATCATATTACTATTATTGTACTATTTATAACTTCATCATATTACTGATTAGTCTTCGATAGTTATTGTACTATTATTATTATTGTTCCTGTTCATTTCATTCATAATAATAGTCACCTCACCCAAAAGATAGAACACTGAACTCCTGCGAAAATAGTGATCATATGGAGTCATATGTGATAATGTACTTGTCCATCTTTACGGGGGTTCAAATCAATGTGGGGCCCCCAGTTATAAATTGGTTTAGAACCCCAATAAACTATGGTTATCAGATGTTATAAGTATCACAAACCATAGTTATTGGAGTTATGAACCAACTTAGCTATTGTTTGGGGGCCCCACATTGTATACTTTCTTTTTAATGAAACACCTTGCACTGTATTCTCAATGAACTACCGCTCTCTGAGGCGACAACTCGCCGCCCTCGTGATGTGTGTAGCGCGGCACAATTGGGCCAAATGGCGAGTTCTGCCGGCAGTGACAGGCGGATCTTTATTGAAGATACCATTTACATGGCCAAAATCAACTATAACACAAAAATAAATTGCCAAAACGGCCAAAACTGTACCTGCTGGTAATTTAACAGTTTGCGAACTTGAACATTGCCATAGAAACAGTTGATTTACCGATTCAAAATGGTGATTCTCCATATCCATGTAAACGTTTACCAGAATGTATATGAGATCAAAGTCAACCAGACAAAAACCAATAATAGGCAACCAATGAACAACTGATATGGGGTTGCTTTGAACATGGTTTGTCTGCAATCATATGCAATCCAAAATGGCAATTTTTATGGTGATAAGCCATCAAATGTTGGGATACCCTATGTTTGGGCAAATGCATTTGGTGTTTGAACTTAATCTTTCTTATCATTGTTTCCATATTTTGGGAAGAGTATCCCACTGGAGGAATGCTATTCACTGAAGCCGCCTTTACCTTCAAACACATGGAAATGTAATACCTGTGCAGCCAAACATGAATCTTTTACATGGTAACCAAGATTATCCAGCATTTGGCCAGATGGCGTGCATTGTGGAGCACCAATGGTGGTGCCACAACAATTTTGCCGCGACCCGTTTTCATCCAGCTGGCAGCAACAGTCGCTACAACCAATCCAACATGATCAACATGTACACAGTACCCTCTGGTCATTTAACATAGCCATGGTATAGATGGCCCATAGAAATAGATGGTTTACCTATTAAAATGTGGATTTTCCATGGCTTTGTTAAATAACCAGAGGGTACACAGTAGCAAAAAGTGATGTTTGACCCTGAGATTTGAGGACTCCGCTGCTTGCCGGATGTTCTGCATGAAGCAACTGGCACTTGGAGCTGCGTAGCGAGGGTTTCTGCTCTCATTTCATGTGGAATCTGAAGGAATCTGATTTATTTGTTGCTGGATTGTAGCCACTATAGCCACTGTAGCCATTCTACGAGCTGTTTGGGCTTACTACAAAACCCACTAAAAATATAGATCTTTGGCGGGGGATCAACACACCACCAAGCATTGTTTGATGGTTTTGGTTTCAACGCTGCTTGGAATGATGATCCCATTTGACGATTTGACGAATGGGATGAAAGCACCAGAGATTGATGACACTGCATTTGTGTTGTAAACCCTTGATACTCAGTAATACATTACATTAAACTCTCAGTATATTACAATGATGAGCTTTACCACATGCACAACATCATATAATTGGCTCCTCCTGCAATCTTGGAGCTCCAGATTGGCCCTGAAGAAAGTTGCGTTTCGCGCACCTTTTTTTTTTGCGTGTCTTTGCTCCAGATGAAAATCATCTGTTTGCTGAGCAGCCGCAATTTTGGAGGGTGCTGTACTTCACTTGCGCGACATCGAGGATCGATGGGACTATTGAAAAAACTGCGAAGCGTCGCCAGTGTGGAGTTTCCCCCAAAAGGTTCAATATGCAAAGTTCATAGGAGACCAAGAAATCAATGCGTTGTATTTCGATCCATTTAAGTGATGTGTTCATGCAGCCAACATCGGATGGTAAAATCAAAACATGTACCCTCCAGTTACTAAACCAATACTTTTCTGGTTGGTGGTTTCAAACATTTGGATGATTTTCCATTTCATATATGGGATATCATCCTTCCCATTGACGAACTCATATTTTTCAGAGGGGTAGGGCTCAACCACCAACCACTTTTTATATGTTTTTATAGCTATGAAAACCCAATGGGTTTCCTAGAAATGATCCCTCCATGATGGAGAAAATCCACCAGGTCACCATCTTCCCGTTCCCAAGGTCCCTATGTGCGGCTGATGCTGAGTTCCCATCGTTTCACCAGGGGGGGGTAGGGGGTTTCTAATCCCAAGATACCCTCTGGTTATGTCAAAATAGCTATTGAAAATGACCATTTATAGTGGATTTACCCATTAATAATGGTGATTTTCTATAGCTACGTTAGTTTACCAGAGGGTACCTCAAGTGATCATCCGTGTCTCGTTGTTTCTTTTTTTATGTTTTTTTTTTTTATGTGGTTAAACCAATGTCATACATAAAACACCAATTTTCCTGGGAATGGTAAGTTTATAGCACCTGGTTAGCACCTATAAATTTATGGTGATGACTGGGGGATGGTTGATGACATTGTTTTAACATGTTTTAACCACATGAGAAGAAAACTATGGAATCCCAGCATCATTTTGAGAAACTCCTAACCTTTGGTTATGTCAAAATAGCTATTGAAAATATGGCCCAGTCGAAATAGTGGATTTTCCCATGAATAGCATGGTGATTTTCCATCGTTTTTTGCAACGTTTACCAGGCCGGGTAACTGGGGAATCAAAGTTGATGGAACTGGTTGATGAAACCGCAGTCTGGGTTTCGGGTTTCAAAGCATGGTTCCATCGGAAGTCAATGTCAAGGCAAAAACAAAGATTGGGATTTAGATGGTGATTTCTAGTGATTATAATTCATGATGAATGATGATTAATGATGGATCCATTGTGAATCATCGCGGAAACTGATCGAAAAATGCCGTTTCTTTTTTTGTTCGGACCTGCAGGTGGGGGGGCATGTAAGATGATATATGACCTAGGCAACCTAGGTACAACACAGAAAGTCATTGTTTGTTTTGTGGATACATGGGCTTACCTATTACCTTGCCAGGAGTGATGGAATTTGATGGTGATTTGAAGTGATTTGTTTGAACTTCTCATGATTGTAGTGCACATTCTTATTAGCACTGAAATAGAAGATGTATCGACACAAAGTCTTTTTCAGCTGCTCTGCAGTTCATACCAAAGTTGTAATTGGAACATCATGTTTATCGCTGCCAAATTCAATGTTTGTAACATGATTGACTGTTGATATACCCTCTGGTAATTTAACATGGCTATTGAAAATCACCATTTTTAATGGGTAAATCCACTATAAATGGTGATTTTCCATAGCTATGTTAGTTTACCAGAGGGTACAGTTGATGTCCTATTCTTGGGTTATATCTGTTGTAGCATATCATCATGCCCCGACGCTTCAACATGTCGTTTTTCCGGCTTCGCTGGGTTGGTGCCAGGGACGACACCACGAAAAGATATGAAAAGATACTCCACTAAAACATGGCCCGAAAATCATTTTGAACTATTTGAACATATTGGAACAAACCAGAGTACATCATAAGAAATTCATAAGGTGCACTAGAACAAAGAACAAACATGAACAAAACTATATTTAATACTATTACAATTAAAGGTAAAAACACGGCGATGGGTAATCGCGACATACAGAACTCGCCTCGCCGCACTTCGAGGCTTCGACCTGAAGATTTAGAGGTCTACGAATTGATTGCTGACGTGCTGAGCGTTGGGATGGTGGGGATGTGAAAACAATGTCGGTTTACAACTATGGTAACCACATGTAACCACCGAAAAAATGCAGAATAATGAATAGAAGATAATAGAAGTAGAATCCCACTAAGAATATCTGGTTGGTGGTTTGGAACATTTTTTTCCAAAATATATGGGATAATCCTTCCCATTGACTTTCATATTTTTCAAGATGGTTAAAACCACCAACCAGGCTAAACATGTGATAATTTTAACCTGCTCATTGTGGTATGTTGGGATAGTCAGGATCGTGGTTGTGATTATGGGATATCAATGAATAATTGTAGTATTGTGATGTATTGTGTGGGGATATCATGACAGCTATATGGGGATATTATAATGTAACGGGGATTATTCATATCTAATATTGGGGAACAGGTGGTAAACCATGGGGATTTCGCGAACAACATATGGGGGAACAGGTGGTAACAGAAGAATGCCATCAAGCCATCTAGATATTTCTAGGGGGTTTGGTCGCGTGGTCCAAAGATGTCCCTTCTGCGTGGGAATGATGTTATCCGCGCGTAGTGAAATTAATATGGGTTGCGCATGGTTGCTGGCTGGACTCAACTGCTAACCCGGTTGAATTTGAACGCGTTGAATAGCACATGTTATTTTCATGGCAAGATCATTGGTTGGCTAGTCACATACAGTATTCTGGCCAAAGCCATTCTCATTGGCTGGCAATATCCCACAATTCTATTGCCTATGAATATGTTTTTTTCTATACAACACATGATAGATCATGGTATTGTACAGTTGTATATCTGTGTATCTTCAACCCCGTGAAATCCAATTTGTATCCCTGGAAGAGCAAGCCAACCATTGCGTGACAAATTGCCAGTATGGTAAATCCACCTAGACCCCATTCTGGAGATCATTTGTTCAGAATCGGATTTGCAAAGAATCACGGTGGTGTTCACTTCTTGGTGTGTGTTTGGGGAATTCACACATCGCCTTTCTGCTTGTGAAAGCAAAACGACTGCGGATTGCATGCAAAAACTGTGAAACATCATTCAACTTGATCTCCTTTCTCGTTTACATATAGCCAGGCCGCCTACCAAATTTGAAGCGGGTCCTCAATAATTATGCTTTGTTGGGCAAAAATCCCTATTGTTATATTGTTGACGATTGAATCCCCTCTGGTGACATGCGACTTTCTATGCTGGCGAAAAATCCTATTGTTTGCTGGCAACATCCCTAGTGTTGATGGTTCTGTTCGAACCATTTTCTCTTGGTAAAATCCATTGGGGTTTGTTTGAAAATCGTGTCCCCCCATGATGAATAGGGACAATCTTGAAATAATCCATTGGATTCAATTAGACATTTAGGGGTATACCATGGTATGGTAGAAAAAAATGGGGTTATCCAATGGATGATCATTGTGGAATATGTTATCCATATAGGCAAAAAGGAAGCATGGAAGAAACCACGTTTTCAGACACACCTTATAGTCAGTGTCCCTACAGGATGGTGCCCCCCAGTTATGTTTGTTGGTTTATAAAGCCCATTAACATCCATTAACTAGTTCATTAATGTTCGTTATATCTACCTTCGACAGTCCATAAACCATACTTAAGCCACTTATAAGGCAACTAAACGCTGTCGACTGGGGGCCCCATCCTGTACTAATATACCTCGTTTTTGAGAATACCCTCTGGTATATCCCATATATATATATATATGTTATATATCATCATATATCCCAATAGTTTGATCCCCCATAAACCATCATAAACCAGAGTTATTATATATTTACCATTGTTTTTCCGATAAATAACTGGCCAAACCTCTGGTGAAACGACCGCTGAGGCCGTGGAAGCTGGTGCTGTGTGCACCGGGGCGCCTGGAAAAAGCAGCCAGTGGCGGTGCGGATGCCCTGAGCATCCCTGAGCCATGGGGGCACTTCATCAATGAGAATGGTTGATTCCATATATTACAATATAATATTATTATATATATATACATATTATATATATATACATGTATATTATATGTTAATATATGTATACATATATATATATATATGAATATACATGTATATTATATGTTAATATATGTATATATATATATGAATATACATGTATATTATATGTTAATATATGTATACATATATATATATATGTGTGTATACATTATTTTTTATAGCTATCTGCTGGTAGCTATCTAGCGATCTAGCTATTTGATGCTATTTAACTATCTAGCATCATCTAGCTATCTAGCTATCTATATGTCTATTTATCTATCTATATTTATATGTGTATTTGTGTATATATATACATATATATATATATACAGTCATTGCTGGTTGGTTTTATATTTGATATTCTATACTCTTCCTACATAATTGCTGGTTGGATATTTATTCACAAGTTGCAACCATAGATACGGGGTAATGTTGCCCAATGACAAAGGTACAGTTTTCAGATGGGTTGAAGACTTGAAGCAGCTGGACCATGTGGTAGATGCTGGGAAACAAAACTGGATGTGCAGTTGTTTGTTCCCATCAAACATGGAGTTTCACCAAGAAAATATGGGCTAATAGCCAGGCTACCTACTACTACTTACTACTTTCTACCTAGTATCACTACCTACCACCTACTACCTACTACCTACTACCTGCTACCTGCTACCTCTACTACTACTACTACTACTACTACTACTACTTACTGCTACCACTACTACTGCTACTACTGCTAGAGAGAATGTCAGAATAGATGCCAGAATTAAGCACCTGTCGAGCAGTTCACTGCACTCTGAGGTTTTGTAACAACTGGGCACCTTTTGTGGCATGTTTTTTTTTCGAGCACTATGAGGCCTGGGTGGCCTTTTGGCTATTACAAGGGTGTAGCCTTGAACTTGGTTTGAATTTGACTATGCAGGATCCTGGAATTTGGCACCCGGCACCGGCCAAGTTCAGGGACTTCATGGGGACCTTGGCAGCCCCAGGAATTCAACCAGGAGGCCTGGAATACGCCGGATCTACCGGATCCTTGATCGAGAAAGCTCAGTGTATGATGAGAAGGGCATTTTGTCGCCATTTTGTCGCCGTGAACCGCACCCTGAGAGGAAATTTTTGCTATGTAATATAATTGGTCATAGCTATTATATATCATCATATATCCCAATAGTTTGATCCCCCATAAACCATCATAAACCAGTGTTATTTATAGTGATTTTGTGCTTGCTGTGTAGAATAACTACTGACAGGGGATTTGCTGCTGCCTCAGAATGACGTTGGTTGATAGATACGTAGTGAAAATAAAACCCGTCTGGCTCTAGATATATAGCTAACATAATCAAACATATTCTAACATAGACATCCATAAAATGTCATCCCTTATGTTTATGTTTTTATTCTTGCCAACCGGCCTTTACTTTTCCAGAAAGGGACGCTCTCAGTCCCCACGTTTCTCAGTCCCCACGTTTCTCAGTTCCCACGTTTCCACATGTCTGGACAGACGACTTGACAGATTACATATGAAT